CTTGTTGACTTTTAGTAAATATAGCCTCCACTAAAAGATTAAAAGACTATTTCACCACTGAAATGGAGGAATTTTACCCACAGCTTGATTATGAGCTTATATTGGGAAAAAATTTGGAAGCTACGGAGTACATGAAATCTTGGAGAAAGATTAAAGATGATATTTCAGAACCACAAATTGAATCTCAAACAATGGATCATTCTATAGGCCAAGGAACAATAGAGGAGGAACAGATTAGCTTCAAAGAGGCCTCTATGTAACAATATACACAACTTAAAGAGAATTACACCACAAGACAAGAAACAACAGAAAAGGAACTAATTAACACAGAAGAAGAGATTATACAACCCCATGCACAATTTATGGAGAACTTTGATGATCAAAGAATGACTTTAACTGAGATACCTGCAGTATCAAAAACAACAGGAATTGATATTCAGACATGTGTTATTGAAAACTGTGAAAACATGGATAATCAACTAGTAACTACAACATGGAATAAAATTGATTACACTTTCCAGATGATACTGAAAGAAGGGGAAGAGAACTTCGACCAGACAGAAGTGTCGTTAAATACTCCTATTCAAATATTGAGATTCAATGATACAGAAGCTTTATTATGGAAACTGATTTGGCACAGAAAGAAAGCCAGAGTTAAATTTAAAAATGCGATTTAAAATTTTACTTAATGGGTTAAAAAGGCTTTAGAGATCTTGACTGACTTAATAATTAACGGAGTATGTGAATTCAGTAAGAAAATGACTTTTGTAATAATATGCTTGTCTTAGATATGATAATTATTTGGAGGAGATTTAAATTTTACCTAATGGGTTAAAAAGACTTTTTATGGACATAGATTGATTAATAGAATATATATTTAAAATAAAGTAGAAATGTATTTTCTGAGTAATATTTTTATTTTAGGTAGGATAACTATTTTGTAATGGAAGGAGGATAAGAGGGATTTGTGACAAGAGAAGAAATGGTATTAATAAATGAATTATTAGATTAAGAAATAGAATATATGTGGAAAATACAAGAATGTTACTATTGGAATAATATATGCATTTTAGATATAACTATTACGTTAGGAAAAAAGGGAAATGGGAATACCTGAAGTGTCAACAATATGTTTATTCAAGGCTAAATTGGAATATGGTAATTCTAAATTAGTAAAGTTTAAAAACAGGATTTGGATTTTAATAGATGAAATGTTATTGATGACTGTTTTGATTGATTGAATCTTATTTAGAAATGTATTAATTTGGATATGTTATAGTATATGAGGGAAACAGAGAGGGAACTTTTAATGAATTAACCTGAGATATATGTATGATTTTGTTTTTGGATGATTGACTTCCCCACCACCACGGTGTTTCTCAAGCACTTTGATGTAAAAATTAAAAAATAAAATAAAACTTGTTTTAAAAAAAAGGCCAGGCGTTTTCCCTTGCCTCTGCTTTGCTGCTGCACAGATGGGACAACTAGCCACATACTGTAGCTTTCAATGTCCTTCTTTAGGGATGGCCACCAGAATTGTCCCTTTACTAATCCAAAGTGTCCAACTAACTTCGTGGCAGAGTTGCATGATTTTTAACCTCTGGGTTGTAGGAATATATAATTTCCCCCCTACCCATGGCAGTCCATTGTTCACTGAACAGAGATTTTTGTGGCTAAGAAACCACTAATCCTTCTCCAGTGCTTGTCTAAATTCCATGCTTGCTGTGCTGTCCAGGGAGGGCAGACTCTTTGCTTATGCTTTCGTGGTGATGGGAGCAACTAGTTGTTTCATGGGTAGCAGTGGTTTGACAACTTCAACTTTTGTGCTGTTGTATTGTGGCAGTCTTGACAGGGCTTCTGCTAGGAAATTTTTCTACCCAGGCAAATATCGGATGGTAAAATAGAATTGATGGAAATGTTGGGCCCACTGAGCTTGTTTGGGGACAGCTTCCTTTTAATGCTTCAAATTTTTTGTGATCAGCCCATACTTGGAAGGTGAGTCAGTCAGACTGGATCAGTCTCTTGTCTTCTAACTAATGTTGAGCGACCCCTCCATCTCACACTTACATCTCAGCTGGTGGCTGCCGTGGTGGAGGGTCAGTTTCTTGGATCTTCCATCCCAATTCTCTTTCTTCCCCATGCTGATTGACCACCTTGGCTTTGCGAGGTTCTCCCCGGTCTCTGCCTTGTCAGCTGAGCTGGAGGAGTCAGAGCCGATGTTGCTTGAGCAAGCCTTCGAGGGTTCCTCCACCCAGCGCTCCCTCTCTCTCCCTTCTCACCGCCATGATTAGACATTGCTTGCATGGCCCCCATGGTAGGGGTTTTTCCCTCTTTGGCCCCTTTGCAGATCTTGCCTAATGTAAGGACCTGCCTCAGTTACACCTCCCAAGAAAGCAGAACTCTTAAAACTTGCATTGTTTCAACAGGAACTTTTATTGCACGGTATTGACAGCAGGAAAGTTAGGCAGGATCTGAAGATTTCCCATGCAAAATGATAGATTAAGAGAACCCAGTCAAACCCCACCCAACTGTCCGTCTGGCTGGTTCAAACAGAGCTAATCCATAGATGTCAAATTGTTGTGGGAAAGAACCGGTAAGGCACCACTCTTAAGGCTGTCAGATCTCTCTGTGGCTTCTTTCTTCTGCCTGGAGATAAGACAGATAGCCAGAGGCACATTCCATTCTCACCCCAAGAAAGATACTTCAAAGAGGACAGAACAAAGAAGGTCATGATCTACAACAGTGGTGGTGAACCTATGGCACGGGTGCCAGAGGTGGCAATCGGAGCTCTCTCTGTGGGCACACATGCCGTTGCCCCAGCCTTGCCTCCGCCCACGACCCCCTCCTCACCAGCAGCCTCCCTGGAGGAAAGTCGCACACGAGCATGGCCCACACAGAGCAGCGCAGCCAAGGACATGGCAGCCAGACAGCGTAGACAAGACTGACCTCACGCCCCAACATGCACAGTTGATGCTGCGGGGCGTGAGCAGAGGGCGTGGCTGCCATGGTGCTGCTGGGCTGCCTGGGCGATCTGTGGTGGGCCCTGGAGGCGGTGAGTGGCCCTGTGGGCAGGCAGGGTGGGGCAGGGGGTGGAGCAAGAGCGGGGCCAGTTTTTGGGCACTCAGTCTCTAAAAGGTTCACCATCACTGATCTACAACTTGGATGGCACCCTTTTCTATAGTATGGGAAGAACAAAATCCATACATTCTTTCAAAATCACTATATAAGAAATGCCTTGCTTTGACATGGGAAAAGATAAAAATGAAAATTAATATGAAAATACGAGGATGGATCTTGACAATGGAAGCGTTTGTGCAACTAAATTTAATCAACTATGAGAAAGTGGTGACATACAGAGACATTTTGAATACTGATGGGAAATTACAAATTAAACAAGAATTGGAAGAACAGGACATTGAGCTATCATGGTGGCCACACTTGCAAATGCAAATGAGATATGAAAAAGACGCTAAAACAAATGGTTTTTATAAAGATCAAACAGTGTTTGACCAGATACTGTTGTCATCAGATGAAAAACTGATTAAGAAACTCTATAAATTTTTGTTAAATCTGAAGATGGAATGTGAACCAGTTAAACAAAAAATGATAACTTGGGCAAAAAATTTTGGGCACAATGTAGAATTAAAAAAATGGCAAAACGTGTGAGAAAGAAATTATAAAATAACAAGGGCAGCTACTTATAAAGAAAATTTATATAAAATGTTTTATAGATGGCATTTACCACCTGCAAGATTAGCAAAAATGTTTAAAAACTTGTCTAGTAATTGTTGAAAATATAGGCAAAAGCAGGCATATACTATCACCTCTGGTGGACATGCCCTAAAGCAAAATAATTTTGGTCAAAAATACATATGTAGTTAGAGAAAATGTTAAGAAAACATGTAGATTTTAAGACAGAACTATTTCTTCTAGGTATAATTACAGAGAACTATTAACGGCAGTGAGAATTACATTTGCACACTAATGGCAAAATGAAGAAATACCATTGGAAGAAGACATAATCAGGAAAATCTTGGATTGTGCGGAAATGGACAGGCTTACATTGAAAATGAAAAGGAAAGAAAATACAGAATATTTTCAAACATGGGATATTTTTTATAAATGGCTAGAAAAATTGAGTAGAGAGTAGAAATGGAAGTTGTATTACTATTAATGTCAAATATGTGAACCCAGATAACACATTGTTTACTAAGCACTAAAGATTTGTAACAATAAAATCTTAATAAAATATCTATAAAAAAAGAAGGAACAAAGCAAGGAAATACACTGCAGAATACCCATAGGTCCCCCTCCTCCCCATCAGAATGGCAGAACCCGAAAATGAGGAGAAAGAATAGGAAAGAGAGGAAATAGGGGTTCTGACAATGTGCCTGATCTTATACTGAAGAGAGCTCTGCCAATGACCAAGACGTTTAGAGCCAGGGGAGCTCAAATTTCCTGTGATTACCAGAACCTCACATTTCCTCTGGGTCTTGGTCCACTTCCTTTCATGATAAAAGGCAGGTCAGCATTAGCATGTGATGGCTGACAGTGAGTTCTGCAGCTCAGGACTTGGCCATTTGCCATTATTTGGGCAGTAAAACTGGGAATGGAGCTGACAGCTCCTCTTATACTGCCAGGTTGACTGTCAAGAGTGGCTCAGTGGATATGTCCCAGTTCATTGTTCCTTTCTATGTATTGTTTGACAAATGATGTGAAAGTATGGTTTTGAGCAGCAAAAGATTCAAACGTGTTGGGTCACTTTGCATCACATCTGTCTGCTTCCTTCCTCTGCTATCATTTTGCTCTCTTATCCATCCAGTGAGGAAAAAACCCACTCACATACAAAGTTTGTACAGCAGGATTTTCATGTCAAGGAACCTTAATGTGGCACAGATCTTGAAGTACCACTACGATATCAGCCTTATCTAATAAAGATGAAGGCTGAACCTAGAACAAAGGTAATGTTGCATTTTGTTTTCTGTTTTCCTCCTTTCCAGGGATCTTGAAGGACTATTTGCGTGAGTTACCCACTCCTCTTATCACTGACCCCCTCTATCAGGTGGTACTGGAAGCTATGTCCAATCGGACAGTAGGGCTGGAAGTGAAGGAGACAACAACAGCTCTTCTGAATTGCCTACCAGAGGCTGAGAAGGTGAGGAAGTCCCAGGTTGAGAAAGGGAGAATAGGTCTATTAATCTCAGGCTTAACCGCCCTTTAAAAATCTTGATTTCTCTGCTAGACCCAAGGGTAACCTCTCACAATGTATCATTAGTGGATTTCCCCATGGATGGACTTCCTGAATACTTTTCTACTGAAAGGCTGCACATTCTTCCTAGCAGTTCATTATTCCAATTGATTAAGATCTTTCTTTTTTTGTTATTGACAGAATAGACTGAAATAACCTGTCATTTCCATTTTTAGGCCACTTTGATAATGCTGCTTGATCACCTTAGTTTGGTTGCTGCTTTCCATACCTTCAATCGCATGAATGCCCAGAATCTTGCTGTGTGCTTTGGGCCTGTGCTCCTGAGCCAAGGGGCAGGTGGGACCATAGTCTCCAGATCTGGCCAGCAGCATTGTACCATTGCCAGAACCAGAGATTTTAAACATCATCTTGAAGTATTACATTACCTGTTACAGTCCTGGCCAGGTGAGTGTACCAGAGGTTCAAAGGCATCTCTTCCATTTTTGGGGACAAATTTCCTTTGGCTTTAGCTGCTGGGTTTTTGCCAATCACGTAATGAGTCCTAATACTTTTTGTTGAATTGTAATGTGGTATGGAGTATTCTTCTAAGCATTTTAAGCTTATGGTACTTTGTCTCCTTATTTGATCAATCAAGAGTTACTTGGTGGATAGTCTTAAATTTATAGTGAAGGGTATTTTAAGAGAATAAAATAAGAGGCATATGTAAGATGGGTAGTTAGTTTGACCAAACAACATATTAAACAAAAGTATTTGTAAGGACCCCCCCCCCCCACTTTGCATCTTAAGAAGACAGAATTCTTGGAATAATTCTTCCAACAGGCATCCTTTATTAAGAGAAAATGGTTGCAGGCATTCTAGACAGGATTTGGGGTCCAAGCTCTCCCATTCAAGGTTTTAAGGGGTTCCCCAGTAGCCCCACCCAATCACCCCCTACTTCCAGCGACAATCTCAGGCATTACACTCCCACCCTCTTTTCCTTACTGCCGGCTGGATGGAAACTTCAGAGAAAACTACATGAAAGGTAATAGCCCCATTGTTATGGTTAGTCCTTTTGGTGATACACACATCCAGTTCCTTTCTTCAGAGAAAACTACATGAAAGGTAATAGCCCCATTGTTATGGTTAGTCTTTTTGGTGATACACACATCCAGTTCCTTTGAGGTGTACCGAAGGAAGTGAGGGCCATAAAGCCCCTTTGCTCACCCCCTTCCCTTCATCGTATGACAGAATCCATAGAAGGCAGAAATGGGGTTTTCTATAATTGATAACTAGAGATGAAATATAATTGGATTCTGACAGTATTTCTAAATACTATAGTTTTAGACTTTGGGTCAAATTGTGGTTAACTTAAGGTGGTGTAACTGCAGTTATCACTGTAAAATTATTTGTATCATCTGGACCTGAAAAAGAGGCTACTTAAATAACCTTCCCTTCTGCCCTGTGGTCATAAAGATGAGAAGCTGGAGCAATTGTAAATAGGGATGTTATGGTCACAGCATATATTTCCCCCATTTTGTTTTCACCCGATGAGTATGGATTAATGTGTGAAATTGCAATGCAAAAGAGATAGGGACATTTCCATCTGTGCCATTTAAAAAATATAATTAAAAAACAAAGTAATAATTCACTTCCCCCAAAAGCTCAAACCAGAAAATGATCACTGGTTGAATCAACCCCTGTAAAGGGATTAGAACAGTAGCCAAAGTAATAGTCCTCCAACAAATTGGGGTGATCTCAGTTTACTGGGAGTTACCTTTGTTGATATGGGTGGCTATATAATGCAAATAAATAAATAGTTTGATCAGTGTATATATTTCAATAAGTGAATTAAGTATTGCTCTATGAATAAATGTATCATGAGAAGCAAAAGCTTTATACGCCTTTTTCCAAATGTTGAATACTTTGGCCTTAATATGTTTCATAAATACATCTAGAACAGGATGTGATCTTGAAGTTATCCCAGACCTCAACCATGGAATGTTGGAATGTTCTTTCTTAGGCAGAACAAAATGCCACTAAGCCATATGTAACACCAATGAATCCAGCATGTGGAAGAATGCACATGAAGCCTTTGCTTCAAATAATAGATCTATTCATATTCAAACTGATTGATTCACAATAACTCTGGTGATTTGTATATCAGTATTTGTGAGGTAAGATTTTTTAGAAATAATGCTATGCTCGGACCTTAGCAGGCAGATTTGAAACTGGATTTCAAATTAGCTGTGTATTCTTGTGCACTTTGGATGACTGTCAATTTCCATTCCCTCTTGGTCTTATTTTGCCTTCCTTCTCAGTGCCACATAGGAAGATGGAAGATGGGGAATGTACCTTTCCAAGCAAGGAGGCCTGTCACCAGTGCCACCCTCCTCTGGATCTGCCACTGTCAAACACTACTGTCACTACTCGAAGTCACCCAAGAGGATTGGAAAGTCCTCCAAGAAATCGTTACGCTGGAGACTGGAGTGTGTGTGGACAACAGTTCCTGGGAACCTCCAAGCCAGGCAGCGAAGCTGACTTTGATGAGGTGGCAGAGAGTGAGAGTGACAGAGAAGAGGAGAATGAGGGGGGGGGGCTTTGAGGAAAGGATTGGCACTCAATAGCCAAGCAATCTACATGGGTGATTTTGCCCTGGTGGAGGATCCAGAGACTCCCTTTAGCCCAAAGCTCAATTTGAAAGACTTCGATGCTCTCATCTTGGACCTTGAGCGAGAACTCTCCAAGCAAATCAATGTCTGCCTGTGAAGCATTCTCTCAGAACTTTATAGCATTGCAAGCTGAAGATGCCTCAGCAAGTTCTTTTTTCTGACTTACAACCTATGTCAGTATTATTACTGGTCACAGATTTTAACCCAAGGGGGCTCTCCCTTTTGGCTTTTGCCAGCATTGAAGAGCCAGCATGAACTCTCAGTGATTGGCTGAAAGGGCACCATTGCTGGGACTCTCCCCTCAGTTTATATGTGAACTGGGAACAGAAGAGAGGCAGGAGCTCTCAACCAGCACCTTGTTCATATATTTCAGTGAAATCTTCCTCAACTTGGAACCTTCCAGATGTATTGGAACTCAGTTCCTATGTTTCCCAGCCATCGTGGCAAACACATCTGGAGGGCACAGGCTGAGAAAGGCAGCTTTAAATGCTTCCAGGGAAGAGAGGATTTATTGATGGTTTTCTTTTCTTTTCTTTTCTCGAAAAGGTAAAATTGAAAACGTAATGTTTATGTGCATGCTTTCCTAATCATTCAGAGCACTTTACTTATCCTTGAAGGCAGGTCAATATTATTATTCTAAATCTGTATCTAGAGTCCAAACTGAAACACAATAGTTTGCCAAAGATTGAACTGAGCTGTGGTTGGGATCAGGGCTCCTTTTTGCTTCTAAAATTAAATCATAAATAAGGCACATAAGAGTGCAGTGCCAAAGTACAGCATAAGGCCTCTGTCCCCATGTGATACCTTCAATCCATCAAACTAGATCAGGGGTGTCAAACTCGCAACATCACGTGACATGTCACGACGTATTGTGACATTTTTGCCATTGCCAGCAATGAGATGGGCGCAGTTTTGCTATGATGCCTCCAACCGGCAGTTTGACACCCCTGAACTAGATTGTTTGTTGAACAACCATAATGAGTATGTTTGGGATATGATTTCAAGCTGACTGTATATTGTCATGCTATCCATATTACTAATTATAATATTTGGGGGAATTTTGGCAAAGTCTGAACAATTGTACCTATAGCATTTTTATAATTTTCTAAGGAAGTTAACCAATCAAAAATAGATAGTTAGGTTTGTTCTTGACAGATCCAGGCTGATTTCTTGTAATTATGGGATTGTTATCAGCTGCCTACAGATGAATCTCTTCAAGAACCACTCTCAAATCTTTCCAGACATCAGTGTCAGACTGATTTGTATGTGGCTCCTCAGATCCTCCATTCCCCACTTTTTGAAGATAAGGATTGTTTTCCTCCTCCAGTCATCTGGCACTGTCAGCAAAATCCTTCAGTATATATACATTCATACAGAGTAAATTTCTCTAGACTTGCTATGATCAGTCTTGAACTTTATGTGTTTCCCCTTAATCTGACTTGTCAGTGTCTCCTGGAACACATAACATCTTTTGGAGAGGACTGAGTCTCAAATAAGAGCAACTTGCTGACTAGATTAATTTATTTTGAGTGTATCTGTACCTGAAGATACCCACTGAGCACATTCCTCAGCATGTAGATTTACTAACACCATTTCTGAAAATCTGTATAATTTTTAAAAATATTCTTCCTTGATTTCTCTTCCCTTTGTATTTCTAAATGTTCTCATATTTTCACTAACATGATAGTGCAGCCACATGGGCTTTTTCAACTAACCTCCATCTTTTCCCTTCATTTAAATTGCTTGCAGTTGTCCTTTTAATACCTTGGGCTCCTTTTCCTAATGTCCCCAGCAGTCTCTTAGGATTTAGCATTCCTACCAATCCTTCCTTCCTCAGAGTCCATTGCAATCCAATTCATGCACAGTTCAATATTTCAGATCTATCCTGCCATTCAAAGCAGATTTATTGCACTCACTAGGATCAGAGACCCATACCCTGATTCTTTAATATGGCAACCTCTGGAGAGTTTCTTATCTTGCCCCATTCTTGCTCATTTTTAGCAGAGTGAATGTTACGTTTTTTTAGACAATTGGCACTCTGGTATTTGTCCCAGTAGGCTTATTCAGTTTTACTAAACAAGCTTCTTGGAATTCCAGCCCTATTCAGTGATATTACTATCATATCTCCATACTGTTTAAACAGGTAAATAACATGGAAGAAGTATATTTTTAACCCCCCCCCCAAAAAAAATAGGTGTTTCCCTGAAGTATAGGAAGAAAATTCTGACCTTATATTTTGAGAATGTGGAGATGGATTATTGCACATTCAACCTTAGGGATGAATACCTACTATCAAGATATTACAGATCCATCTCTGTTTATCCTAACATTCTGCTTTTGACTACATTAAAAAAATGAGAAGGGGAGCAATGCTGTATCCCCGTGGTGGGGAACCTATGGCACGGGTGCCACAGGTGGCATGCAGAGTCCTCTCTGTGGGCACACACACTGTCGCCCCAGTCCTAGGCCTTCAGCTGGGTTTTATAAAACCTTTTCGCTTTAGGCCTCCGCTGTGCAAAAAAAAAAAGTTCAATCAATCAATCAATCAATTTCAACTTCTTGCACGAAAAAAAAGATCTCGCAAAGTTGGAATGATTGATTGAACTTTTTAGTACCACCCAGTCTGCTGTTACCACCGCAGCCACGTCCACCCAATGGCCCACGCCCACCAATGGGCCATGCCCATAAGTGGGTTTTGGGTTGCAGTTTAAGCACTTGGTCTCTAAAAGGTTCGCCATCACTGGAATATCCTTTCTGTTCTGAGGAAAGAACCTTATTTTAGAGTTGGAGCTCTGAAGCAAATCTATGTGGAAATGAACACACACAAAAATCTAAGCTTTCTGTTACTCCAAATTTTGGGGTTGGGAATATTGGGAGTACCCATTAGTAAAATCCTTGGCAGAGATTCTTGTTGTAGACAATGAACTACTGAGTTCCATTTTCATGTTCCTCTGTGCAGTGTTGTAGTACGTTCTTACCTTATTCTAATCCAGCCACTGCTTTTTAGTAGCAGTTCATCTCTTGAAGAATTGAGATCTAAGGCACTGAATGATCAGTTAGATTTTAAAAAGGAGGAGTTCACCAGGAGAATGGCAGTTTCTGCTGCATTTTATCCATTGTACTTGGAGTAGGCCAGCAGCTTCTCCAGCTTTATTCAAGCGGAATACAAGTATTGGAGAGAGAATGTGAATCCCCCTACCTCCACCTCACCAGCCAGACAAGCAATATCTGAAGCAATGATTCTTAATCTCATCAAACTGAAGTCCATACACATCTTCAACTTGCTGAGGTTGAGAAATACTGGTCTGAAACTTTGAGGCAAACATCTGTTGAATGTGATGCTGCTGCCACCCATGTGCCTTGTTCTAATTAGTAACATGAGATAAATTGTGGCAGCAACTGTACACTCCTACCGATAGGAATTTGGAGTGAAACTTAGTCCATCATAAGCTGAGTCTCTGCAGGAAATATTTTAAGCAATATTTCATTCTCCATTAAGGATGAATGAGAGAATCTGTTGTAAATGAGAGGGGCATTGGGAATTCATCATCCTGATGGAGAAATATGGTACGGAGGGTGTAGGCTTTTTAAAGAAATGTATGTCCTTATGGATAATTAAAGTATCTATGAATACATGTCTTCCTGCTTGTTTATGTTTGTATGCATTCCTTTACATGAGTATGCATGTATATGCAAGAGATACAGTGGGGCAAAAAAGTATTTAGTCAGCCACCAATTGTGCAAGTTCTCCCACTTAAAAAGATGAGAGAGGCCTGTAATTGTCATCCTAGGTAGACCTCAACTATGAGAGACAAAATGAGAAAACAAATCCAGACAATCACATTGTTTGATTTGGAAAGAATTTGTTATGTCCCGAGCCTTGCAAACGGCTCGGGCGTTTGCAGGCAGTCCCGGGCAGGTGCAAAGCTGCCCGGGACCAGACAGGCTGTCGCCAGTGCCGTGCGCATGTGCGGGTGCTGGCGCGGGAAAAGTAACCCATTTACCCGGGAGTTGCCTATATAAGAGGCTGCGAGGCGTTTGGGCGAGGCTGAAGCCATCTTCCTATAAGCTGAACGCTGAATAAAAGAAACTGAGAACTCCAGCTGCTTCTCGTGTCTATTTTCCCGCCACGGACTCAACAGAATTTATTTGCAAATTATGGTGGAAAATAAGTATGTGGTCACCTACAAACAAGCAAGATTTCTGGCTCTCACAGACCTGTAACTTCTTCTTTAAGAGGCTCCTCTGTCCTCCACTCACTACCTGTATTAATGGCACCTGTTTGAACTTGTTATCAGTATAAAAGACACCTGTCCACAACCTCAAACAGTCATACTCCAAACTCCACTATGGTGAAGACCAAAGAGCTGTCGAAGGACACCAGAAACAAAATTGTAGACCTGCACCAGGCTGGGAAGACTGAATCTGCAATAGGCAAGTAGCTTGGTGTGAAGAAATCAACTGTGGGAGCAATAATTAGAAAATGGAAGACATACAAGACCACTGATAATCTTCCTCGATCTGGAGCTCCATGCAAGATCTCACCCCGTGGGGTCAACATGATCACAAGAACGGTGAGCAAAAATCCCAGAACCACACAGGGGGACCTAGTGAATGACCTGCAGAAAGCTGGGACCAACGTAACAAAGGCAACCATCAATAACACACTACACCGCCAGGGACTCAGATCCTGCAGTGCCAGACGTATCCCCCTGCTTAAGCCAGTACATGTCCAGGCCCATCTGAAGTTTGCTAGAGAGCATTTGGATGATCCAGAAGAGGATTGGGAGAATGTCATATGGTCAGATGAAACCAAAGTAGAACTGTTTGGTAGAAACACAACTCATCGTGTTTGGAGGAGAGAGAATGCTGAGTTGCATCCAAAAAACACCATACCTACTGTGAAGCATGGGGGTGACAACATCATGCTTTGGGGCTGTTTCTCTGCAAAGGGACCAGGACGACTGATCCGTGTACAGAAAATAATGAATGGGGCCATGTATCATGAGATTTTGAGTGCAAACTTCCTTCCATCAGCAAGGGCATTGAAGATGAAATGTGGCTGGGTCTTTCAGCATGACAATGATCCCAAACACACCGCCCGGGCAATGAAGGAGTGGCTTCGTAAGAAGCATTTCAAGGTCCTGGAGTGGCCTAGCCAGTCTCCAGATCTCAACCCCATAGAAAACCTTTGGAGGGAGTTGAAAGTCCGTGTTGCCCAGCCACAGCCCCAAAACATCACTGCTCTAGAGGAGATCTGCATGGAGGAATGGGCCAACATACCAGCAACAGTGTATGCCAACCTTGTGAAGACTTACAGAAAACATTTGACCTCTGTCATTGCCAACAAAGGATATATAACAAAGTATTGAGATGAACTTTTGATATTGACCACATACTTATTTTCCATCATAATTTGCAAATAAATTCTTTCCAAATCAGACAATGTGATTGTCTGGATTTGTTTTCTCATTTTGTTTCTCATAGTTGAGATCTACCTATGAAGACAATTACAGGCCTCTCTCATCTTTTTAAGTGGGAGAACTTGCACAACTGGTGGCTGACTAAATACTTTTTTGCCCCACTGTACATAAAATCATGCCTGCATGTACATATTTGTTTGCTATTCTGTACAAATCCATGTTAGATTTCTGTGGTGCCATGAATTGCAGACTGAAAGAAATCAATAATCCCTTATTTCTACAGTGGGAGCATATTAATCACACGGGACCTATCACAGAAGACTGCTAGGTGCAAGCAAAAAGACACTGCCATTTAGCTTTTTAAAAGTATATAGTACAGATATGGTAGTCATAAATGTCAATTCTACATCAAGCCAAACATTCCAGGATTTAATGTATTACAGCAATTTTCTGTCCAAACTGCTTGCTAGTTTTATCTTTAAATAGAGTTAGATAGCTAGAAGATAGATAGATAGATAGATAGATAGATAGATAGATAGATAGATAGATAGATAGATAGATAGATAATAGAGATAGAGATAGATAGGGGGGGGAGAAGAAACCGCTTTAGGGAGCTTCCGAGGCGCAGATCACTCACCTGGAAAAGGTCTTGTCAGGATCCAGTTATATTTCCTTTGTATCTAATCTAAAACCAATTATTACTATTTCCTGGGTCCTGCCATTCTCCCAAGGGGGAGGGGGGACATGCAGAGGAGTTTTATTACTTTCACTTCCTTCATTCACTACAAAGTAACCTTTTGTTTATTCGCCTCTACTAACCATTACAATGGAACCATTTGACTCTTATCCTATGTCCCTCTGAACTTCTCTTCTTTACTGGGCAACTAAAAAAAGGGGGGTGAAAAGACACAAACCTCTAGAATCTGGTTTATTTCTCCATCGTCAAGATAAACTCCGAAGAGCTGGTGGATGATCGTGGAGCCGGTTTGATATTATCTTTCATGGGTTTAACACCTAGACAATTGCCGGCCTGAGTTGGCTGGAAGGAATGTGGGGAGGATTTTGCTTAGGGACACTTTAAAACATTGATGTATAAAGGAATCCCTCAGATCCTGTCTATTATGCCTACTATCAATTTATTTTAATAAAAGTTCCTGTTGGAAGAGACTTATTTCCAAGAGTTCTGCTTTATTAAGATATAAATTGAAGTGATTCCTTACAGGTCTGTTTCCTCTCTGCCGCGGTTCCTGCTGCCGCTCCGATCTGAGGCCAGGGGACGCGTCCACAGCCCCCTGCGGCACGATCTGGGCTCCGGAGGGCTGGAAAAGACCTCTGCCACCTGAATCTATGGCTCTGGAGCAATTTTGTGGGCCCCCCAGCAGCCCGATCTGGGCTCCAGAGGCCTTTTCCAAGCCTCTGGAGCCTGGATCCATGGTTGTGGAGCGATTTTGCGGCTCCCCTGCAGCCCAATCTGGGCTCCAGAGGCCTGGAAAAGACCTCCAGAGCCCAGATCTATGGCCGCAAAGCAATTTTGTGGGCCCCATGTGGCCCAATCCGGGCTCCGGAGGCCTTTTTCAAGCCTCTGGAACCTGGATCCAGGGCTGCGGAGCAATTTTGTGGGCCCCCCAGTGGCCCAATCCGGGCTACGGAGGCATGGAAAAGGCCTTCGGAGCCCAAATCGGGCTGCCGGGGGTGTGTGCAAAATTGCTTCACGGCCATAGATCTGGGCAGCAGAGGCCTTTTCTAGGCTTCCGGAGCCTGGATTGGGCTGCTGGGGGGGGCCGCAAAATCGCTCTGCAGCCATACCTGTACCTGCGCTGGCAACTTAGAAGGAACTGGGTCTGCCGTTCAAAAAAAGGTGCCGGAACACCATTCCGGGCATTCTATGACAAAAAAAGCCATGGATATATAAATAAAGATATAATAGATAGATAGATAGATAGATAGATAGATAGATAGATAGATAGATAGATAGATAGATATTCTGTGTTCTATTGAGTTGCAGTCTACCATCTACCATTGTTACTGAAATAGAATAACAGAATTGGAAGGTACATTAGAGATCATCTAGTCCAACCTCCTGCT